TTTCTGTTGGTTTCTGTATTCGTAAAGTTTACAAATATATTAAGACTAAGATTGATGGTGTGAACATTATGGTTTACTGTTGAGTATCTGAAGGGTGAGAGTTTCTCGAATTATTCTGGGCAATTCTCACAGAATTATTTGTGTTACTGTTATTGTGGCCTCCATTCGAGTTGTCACGGCCTTTTGAGTTTCCTCTATATTGGCCTCGTCCATTACTGTTATAGTTGGAACTGTTGTAGTGTGTACGATAGTTTCCTCTAAAGTTTCCACGTCCGCGGTCCACCACGCTGTGAATAATTTTTGAAATAAAGCACAGTATTAGGTTGTCCAGTTGCTTCCGTGCAATTGTTGACGAACTTAGATATGGCATCATTCATTGTGTTGAAGGTGCCAGCCTGCATGATAAATTTTACCTTATCAATTGCGCAGTTCTTAGTCATTGCCTTAACGACAAGCTGAGTGGAATAATTCGTTGCCAATTCTAGGATAGTCTGTCTGATATGTATGCTCCTTCTAAGGCTTTCGTCATCTGCTCAACCTCTTTTGTGTATTGGTTTGCAGTTTTGTTGCGTTGCTGTAGGGTCATAACTTTTGCTGACAATACCTCTACAGTTTCGCCCTTGACGCTGCCATTTTATTTAGAAATCACCTCGGAAATTGTTTCGTTTCCTATTAGATTTCTAGCGGCACCCTTTAGTTTTGTTTTTATTATGGAGACTGCGAGTTGTTAGTGCTTGCCCTTTATTGACTCTACTATTTCTAACGCATCCACAAAACTTGTTAGATTTTTCGCTTTACCATCGAAAACTGGTATAAGCTTGGATGCTGTATTTATGAAATCAATATTGGATTGTGCCATTGTGGTAAGGTTGCTTGTCTCGCTAGGAGTAACAGAATCTGTGTTACTATCTCTATCTGTGTATACCGCTGGAATAGTAAGATTATTTAAATCTTCCTCTTCTATTTTGGAGTTTACCTCTTCTAATTTTAATTCGTTCGTTTCAGTTGATTCGCAGTCAGGTGCCGTGTGTACTGCTATGGGAGTGTTTAGAACATTCGGTATTACTATTTCTAAACTGAATTTTTGTTTAACCGATATTAAATTAGATCGTAGTCGTATCAGAACTTTAGATACCTGAGACAAATGATCTTGATTCAATCTCTCCCTGTGACCATGTATTAGTATTCGCGCTTCGTTAAAGTTCTCTACAATATTTCAACATGTTTTCTGACTGTGTTCTTCTGGATTGGTCTATTCTGGGTAAGTGACATATACGATTTGTCCAAATTTGCTTCGATATTGTTTTTTTTTTGTACAATTCATTCCAATCCATTATATCATGGGCATTGCGCTTAGTTTAGCCATTTTTTTTTAATATATCTGTATACAATTATTTTTATTGTTATTTTTATTTATTACATATATATATTGTATGTTTAAACAATGTTGCCTAGATTTTATCCAGGTCATTAGCCCGGCTCATATATCTTTTCTTTAAACATCTATTGTGCAGCTTATATAATTTATAAAAGAAATTTGGGCACATTATGACAACAATGATTATTAAAAGTACATATACCCAATATAAATCAATATTATTCGATTCTACTTTGTTTATGACATCGGCAGTGGAATCCACTGTTTTTATATCCAAAGTCATTTTTGTAGGTGGTACATACGAGGTGTGTTCAAAAAGTAAGGTGACTTTTCAAATTTCGCGGGCAACATATTTTCGATTATCGTTTTTTTTGTTTTGTTATATTGGTACACTCTTCCCTAACATCTGTACCAAGTTTCAATGGAACATCCTCTTTTGTTTGGTTGTGAGAGGCGTAAAGTTACAAGTTGTTTTGCGAGCTCGGCGATTTTTTGCTTTTTTCGGTCTTGGCTCGTCTGGGCTCTTCCATTGGGACGATTGGGCTTTGGTTTCGATATCATAACCATATACCCATGATTCGTCACCAGTTATGACCCTTTTGAGTAAATCTGGGTCGTCGTTGACGTCATTCAACAGCTCTTGAGCGATGCTCATGCGACGGTTCTTTTGGTCAAAAATTCAGCAATTTCGGAACAAACTTCGCTGACACACGACTCATACCCAAAACGTTTGAAAAATTTCATGGCACGAGCCAAGCGATATACCGACATCTTCAGCAACTTCTCTGATAGTGATTCGATGATTTTCCAAAACAATTTTCGTCACGCTTGAACGTTTTCATCAGTGTTGACGTGCTTGGGCGTCCAGAGCGAGGCTGGTCATTGGCATCTTCCGGCCATCTTGGAAGAGTTTGTACCACTTGTACACATTTTTTTTACTCAGAACAGTTTCACCGTATGCCACTGTCAACATTTCAAGTGTTTCAGAGCACTTAATTTTCTTTTTTACACAAAATTTGATGCAAATCCTTTGATCCATATTTTTCGATAGCAAAAAATCGCCGAGCTCGCAAAACAACTTGTAACTTTACGCCTCTCACAACCAAACAAAAGAGGATGTTCCATTGAAACTTGGTACAGATGTTAGGGAAGAGTGTACCAATATAACAAAACAAAAAAAACGATAATCGGAAATATGTTGCCCTCGAAATTTGAAAAGTCACCTTACTTTTTGAACACACCTCGTATACCTTTATGTTATAATTTGGAATATAATTATTATTGTTTTCTATTGAGGATTTGCTTATTGCATTACCTCTCATCTATCATTACAGGTTTCTACCTATTGTTTTGCATAGCTTTACGGGCTATAAGCCTAATTGGACAGAGAAGGTTTCGCTCAATTTTATTCTAGGTATTTCTCATATTTAATTTTTTTTATATATTCCGGGATCGCAGGAGACACACGCCATAACACCTCTTTTTCAACTTCGAGCTCTCCCGGTCGGTCCTTTGACAGCCTCGTGGTATCCCAAGTCCAGCGTGAATAAGTTACGTTGATATCGTCTGGTGCATAAAGAATTAAAGGATTCCTTCTGCTTCTTCCTCTTGTTGAGCTGTATTTTCTTGATGGCTCGCTTCTTGATTTTCTTTTTGCAAGGCGTTTTTTATTTTTGAGTTGTTAGCGGTTTTGGGATCCAACAGTCAGCGCGCACGTCCTGTCATCTTCGGGTCCATCACATTCGTTATGAAATATATAACAAATTCATTGTACTTGGTTTATTCTTTATTTAAGAGACCAGCAGTGGTGCCGCTCTATGTCTTTGTGTCTTTACAATATTCTTTTATATCTAACTAAGGCTAAGTCTCGTTGCTGCGCTGCTCGCAGGCGGCGGCAGAGACATATGCCTTCCTATGTGAGGAGCGTGAGGGGTATGCACATGCGGTTCGTTCATGCAATTATGCCGACGCTAGCACTTTCTGCGTGTGGCCTAAGCCATAGCGATCGGTTCATATTTCGGCCATTTGGGGTTTATGACCGCGACCAGGAATTATGTAAACACAATATTAGTGCATACTACAACGCAGTTCCTTAGGTTAAAGTTGACCACGAGGCGACAAATCAAAAATACTGAAACACAGCGATCCCAGGAAGTTGGAAATCTTAAGAATCGTGAAAATTTTCCGATCCTTGCAGGAAATTTATATCACTATGATATGAGCATTGACGTATCCACGTGGGATCCGTTACTTGTCGTCTTATTAACAGAAAAGTTAGATATGACTAACTGAGTTCTTAATAAACAATCTCTTGGATGTTTTATAGAATTGCACCCGATACGCACAATGCTCAATTTCTAAGATAAAAAAGCTGAGCACTTCGTGACTTAGAATCATAGATAAAGCTTATCACCGAAGAATCACCTGACAGCACCACTACAAAGTTATGTATAGTGTTTGACGCGTCATGAAATCCTCTTTGCCGTCCCAACAGGTCAAAGCGATTTATTTTCGATTTTTCTGCGTTTTTGAACTCACAAATATGTGTTTACAGCCACATAGAAAAAGTCGAACGCCAAGTATGGATCTGTGCAGATGACTAGTTTCATCAGTTTGGCGAAGCAATCCCTCAGAAGATCTGAAATACTTCTGCCTGAAGATAGTTACATATAACCAAATGTTTAAATCACTTAGCTCTTCTGACCATGAATAAGTATTCTATGGGAACAGCCACTCTCCAATATCCAATAACGACTGTCTAATTGGTGCAAAGCCTGAAGTCATACAGGTTAGAGATGAGATTAACAAAATTCCGGATCAGCCTGGCTTAAAATTAGAAAAATGGTGCTCAAACAACGACCAGAGCTACAGGGAATTCCCAACCATATTTCGCACAATTCTTTAACCCATTGGGTTTCTTTATGTTTATGTACGCGCTATCTATACAAATAATCAAGTTTCTATCCGGCTACTTTGCACAAAGTGGCGACTAGCTCTAAAGATTTAACGAACGAATTCCGATTGGACTATGTGATGATGTACTGTGGTCCGCACCAACCGACTGAGTGAGAAAGGTTCTTCACTTTAACTCTGGTTCGACAATCGGAAACTTATGAAGATATTTCATGGTAGTACTCGTATTATCATGGAACAATGCATCAACATCGTGAGTGTGCTACTTTTGGGGCTAACAGGCTAACAGGATCGGTTAAGGCGCGGTGTCATTGTAGCATGTCACCTCCGATAAGCGCAGCAGATATTCTGACTCGAAGAATCCTAGGTATCGTAAGCAGCAACGGATAATGGCAATGTTAAGCTTCTGCTACGTCTAAAAACCACAAAAGGTACAGAAACAAATTACCTAGTAATGTTATGCTGCCTACCTGTTTTTATTTTATAATAAAGACGTTTGCGAAAAGAAATACTTTTGGGATAATTCAAGAGATCAGAGAACCCCATCAAATAGCCAGCTGTTATTGTTAAGCTTACCTGATAAATAATGTTGATTACGGAAAATATGAGGTACCAGCTGTGACCAAATTCGCGCGGGGTCGGTTTGTTACCTGAGACTTCTATAAAATCCATCATCAAAGGAACCCAAAGACACAGTCACAAACTGAAACGTCTAACGTCATCATCAAAATAGGAATTCCGAAATGGTGAAAAGCAAATCTACACCAAATACCGTTTTTAATCAAAACGAGTTGGTAGTCAATACTGAAGCTATGAATATTGAGGATCTCAGCGATCTACTCCAGCTTAACGAGGAAATTGAGGAGCGCTGTCGATCCAACCCGAACGAAGACAGCAATGCTGGCTGCGGCTTGCTAAGAGCTAAAATGACTAGGGAGGAGATTTTCGAGATATCCACATCATCTTCTCTAGACGATGATCGCTTTTTGACGGCCCTAGAGCACCAAAACTCATACTCGAAATCGCGTCGAGTTCAAGTTACCGACTTGGACATGCCCAGTATCGAGAATCTAATGAAGTACTTTGACGAAGAGGTACCCGTAACGCCAACCAAAATAGTAGGGACAACAAGGGCGACCGCCCCTAAAGGTAAAGTAGCTAGCGTCATTGCTAAGTTGACCAACAAATCGGATCCTATCACATCGACCAAGCCAATGGTGAATAGTTGTCACCCCACGATCAGTAAACTCAAGCAAAAGTACGAACAGCAAGTGAAAATTGAGAACACTCGGTTTGCAACACGAGACCGTCGGAAGACTTCCGTCTCGCTTCCCATGAAAGTGAAGGAGATGGCTCATTTGTTAAATTCGAAGATTAGCCAGGTGAATCGCCGCTCAGAAGTTTCAGACTACGTTCAACTGCAAAACGAGATTTCGGTGGCGACCGAGCATCAGTATCCATTGACATCGGAGTCTCAAGCACAAGGTACTTGTTTGGTGGCCGAGGAAGTTTTCCGCGAACTAAGCGTCAAGGACAAGGCTCTTCTGTTTAACAAGTTCATTGCAGACATGGCAGCTAAGCATCCCAAGTTCATTGAGCATGCTGCAGAACTCAAGGCGCAGGTGGATAAGCTGGTGCTTTGCGGTGAGGTGGTAGCCGAAAAGCAAGTCAGTGTTAAGAATTTAGTTCAGGAATTTGAGGAAAAGTGTAACCTGGAGCGTGGATCGGCACCGCAATTAGATGAAGTCTCTTCACTTACGTCAAATGATAGCAAAATGGGGACAGGTACTTCTCAGCTTCACGTGAGCAATCTGCCAGTGATCCTTAAGCCCAGAGCGGAGCGTAAAGAACGACGCTATCTGGAGCGCCAGAGCGCAGACCACGCAGGGCGTTCCAAGAATCGAAATCTTGCCGCAATACGTAAAACTCTGCCAACAGACGCCATTGCACCGCCGAAGAAAATCCGACGCACAAGACAGGAGCGTATCGGATGCGACAACCAAGTGTTTTTCCAGAACCCGCACCTCGAGACCCTTTTTTACAATTGGCTCAGCACAGAAAATGGCGTGCAGTACGACATAACTAGCGCATCAAACAGTCAGCAGACCATCGAGATAGCAACAGAAAATACCATTCTTGAATCGAGCACCGTCAGCCTGGAAGATGTGTGCCAAAAGTCCGATGTTGAACGTCTTCTGGAACAGGCTTTAGCCAAGCTAGAAATTGAAAACGAAGAAAAAAAGGAAGTTATTAGGACGTCTTTGACTAAAATAGTCAAAGTCACTCCACGACGCAATAAGCGCATGGCGCCGCCAGTGCCTGCCCCACGTCCAAGTCTGAGTCAGACTCATTCCACCGCATCCAGCTGCAAGCAATCCGAGGCTGAAGATAGTGAATCCGGACTGTCGACCCTTCCCAAGGTAAGTGCTGTCTCTGATTAACGAATTAACTAATGTATACTCATGCTTAATTTCCTTTTACAGATTACAAGCGACGAATCACAGCCCGAAATGATCAAAGAAGACCTACAGCCAAGTGAGTTTGATTTTGTCAAGCCCCAGCGTCCACCACGTAAGAAGAAGATGCGCAGAAATCTTACTTGGCAGAAGGATAATTCCGTTGTCGAGGCTACCACAATCACCTCAACTGACTCCGATTCCGATTACAAATCGTCACTTTCCGCACCAGACAAGAAAACGACGGGAGCAAATTGCGCCTTCCCACTGCCCGAACAAAGTTTGATTGAGTTAGACAAGTCATTTATGCGTCAGGTCAACTCGCCCCGCAAAATTAAGTCAGCGTACACTCTAACTGTAATATCGTCACCTTCGAAAAATTCAGACACCAATCAAACACCAAGGCAATCACTCGGGCAAACCATGCGGGATAGTTTCATTGATCAGGGCTTCGAGACCTGCTCGAATGACCCCATAGACAATAGTCCTCTACGCAGGTCCTTCGTAAGCTCCTACGACTCGAAGTCATCCGGGTTTTCAACGCCAGTAAAAGGTCGCCACGTTTGCAGCCTAGCGCAACAGCAATTATTCAGCCCCATTTTTTCGCTAGACCGGCCGGAACGCAGTTCTCTGGCCATACAGGTAATTCGGGAAGATCATTCCCTCAATCTTGATGCCACTCCCAGTTTACCCTCCACACCTTGCAGTGAGAGGGAGTTTTTCGCCAACGCTCCGACAGTTATAATTAATAGCACCCAGGATGAGATTACAGCCGGAAATCCTCATTCAATGTTCTGGATTATATCAGGAGACCTTACGGTGTCCTTGAAAATTTCAAAATATAGCCCTGAGCGCCTTCGTCTGCTCTATGACATATTCATTCAAAAAAGTTTCGAGAGTCGAGATCTAGCCTTCGGAATCGATGGACACAAGTTTACATGTAGTGGTGAAATCTCGAAATCCACTCAAACTATGCCTCTTGATTGGCCGCCCAGTGTACAGGATTGCTCCCACTATTGGTTCGCTAGCGGAGATTTCTCCGTACCCTTTAGCGGGAAACTGATGTCCGACGAGAAAATTAAGCGGCTATTCGCATTTCTCAATGCGGAAAAGTCCAAGATACGCTTCGGCGTGGATCACATCGAGTTTAGTAGCTTACCGGAGTTCTGGCCCACTACCCAAAAATATTCTATTGAGAGCAGCTACAGCATGCTGGTGGGTTTGCAAACGGGTGCAAGCAATGGCCTGGAGGGGCGCAGCAAATACTCCTGGCCCAACAACAGCAATTCTAACCAAGAGATCAAGACCAACGACATAGATCGGACGCAGCTCGAGCTCGATGCAAATTATTTCGGCAAAGATAGCGGTGGTCCTTCCTTTTCTCCTGACATATTCTCCCTAGACTACGAGGCTGTTCCCTTGGATGAGCTGTTTGCAAATGTCCCTTTATGCGCGACTGTTCCCATCTTGTCCACGGGACAGATGATGCAAGCTCTAAAGCAGCAGCAAAGAAAACTTAGCAATGTGGAACAGCGTATTCGCAGCTATGCAAAGCCCTCTAAGTTAACAGACGTATCACTTGAGCGCTACCGCAATACTCCGCAATATGTACACAAGCTGCGCTCCATGATTCGGACTATAGATAGCATTGGTCGTGATGATGGCTTTCGTGGCTGCTCGATGGAGCAGCTCGAGAGCTTCATGTATTTCCTCAGCGAGTATGCGGATGTGTGTCTGGCCAATTGCAACGAGCATATAGACAACATTCTTGACAGACTATTGGACCATAGGGCCCAACTAAATACTAACAATTAGTTTCTAGACACAAACATTTAATGTTACAAATATTTTGAAAAATAAACTTATACGAAAAATATTGCTTGGTTTTAATATTAATTTTGAATTTATAAACTCGTCGGTTAAACTTTGCCAGCTAGCTCTTAGCTCTGGATCCACAGCGTCAGCTTTCAGACACAACGGAAGTTGTGCAATTCGGCGGGGTCACAAACTTTGGTTTTACGGTATTGATAAAAGCTTAACTACCTCGGATGTCAGATAGCCAGAATGACTACAACTACTACGACAAGTGGAATCTTTTGGAGAGATTTCATGGTAGTAGTCGTATTATCGCACCTATATTCATCCCCTAATAGCGCAGCGAATTTTCAGACCTGCGGTTTTTGGACCACTAATTTTACACTCAATGGATCAGTATGCTGTCTTTCAACTCAAGGGATCTGGAAAAAAGTCCCGTTGCATACCAGTTACACTAGTTTCAGAGATGTTTCAGAGAAGATATGTACAAGTGCAGGTATAGCAACTCATACCTCATGTTAAGGTCCTGCTACAAAAAGATCAGGAATCAGAATTTATTCAGCTGCAGCGCAGTAAGACAGTTGGAAAAGTATTAATTAGATTTGGAGGAAGATTGTAACATTGAGCTTTTCCTTACGAATCAAAACATCAAACCTTGTTTCTCTACAATGATCCTAATGTAAGGATGTTGCTTCGCGAGATCGACCTTGCATTACGGTGAGCAGGTATTTTAGGCTACTGCAATGTTGGATTCTCAATGAAAAAACTATAGCCCAAATCATAATTTTTAGCTGTGTGAGATGCACCAGAGTAAGGTCAACAAATAACGGTAGACCTGCCAACTGAACGGTCACAGAAGCACGCCCATTCTTTGATTCCAACCATTTTGGATTTATCTGAAAATTCGAGGAGAAGGGCTGGATAAGTCAAACATTGCAGTTGTTCCTGTTTTTCCACAAAAGTAGCGCCCCTTGAATTGTTGAGTTACTGACCCCTTTTTAGCCGCTATACGAAGATTTCTAGGTAACCGCTGTAGATGTCAGACCAGCCATTGCAATAATGCAATAAATTTCGTGGATACCAACAACAAGCTGAAAAAATTAGAAGAATTAATGTATATAGAAAAGGCACAGAAGCAAATCATAACTAACCATGGAATGGTAAAATCAATCAATAATTACAGAATTTCCTGTCTTCAACAATCGATTAAGATAACTAAAACTCAATAAGCACATAGTTTTGCGAGAAGTTGTTATTCTCAGTTCAGAAACTCCCTGGCTAGTGGAAGCCGAGATTGTTAATTTTTTTTTATATAGCTTTGCTTTTATTTATTGAATCTACTCTTAATTTTGAGACAATAAGTTGACGAATCTTAACATTAAAATTTAACTAACAGTATACTAAGACTGCATTCTGGTTGCGCGTCCCTCAGGTCGGTCGCTGGGTGGGTAGGTCATTGCGACGAAGGCGTGATTGGTTGCTCAACCTTGTTAGACCTCTCGCCAGGTGGTTAGGGTGCACCGATAGCTTGGTGAAGTACTTTACCTTTTGTTCTGCGATCACTTCTTTGACTGGTTGAATGTTTAAGTCGCGGTGTATGTTTTCGTTGTGAACGTACCGCGGTGCCCCGGTGATTGTTCTCAGGATCTTCGACTGAACTCTTTGAACAATGTCAATGTTGCTATTGCTGGCGTTTCCCCATAACTGGGAGCCGTACATCCATATAGGTTTTAGTACCGAGTTGTACAGCATGATTTTATATTCAAGGCTAAGAGGTGACCGGGCGTTGATAAGCCAATGAAGGCTGCTGGCTTTTAGCTTTAGGTGTGTTCTTTTGGCTTTAATGTGCCGGCGCCATGTGAGTCTTCTGTCGAGATGTACTCCTAGGTAAGTTACTTCGTTTGCTTGTGGGAGTAGAGTGTTGTTTAACGTAATCGGGGGGCAGTTTTGCCTGTTCAGAGTGAACGTAACGTGTTTGCATTTTAGTTCGTTCACTTTAATTCGCCAATCTGATAGCCATTTTTTAACATCGACCATATGACGAGCTAGCTGCGCAGTTGCTTGAATCGGGCATTTAGAACGGCTAAGAATAGCTGTGTCATCGGCAAACGTAGATGTTGTTGGACGTGTGCTTGTCGGAATGTCTGCTGTGTAGAGGACATATAGTGCTGGCCCTAGCACGCTACCATGAGGAACTCCAGCTCCAACAGTGTAATCATCAGATATAGCAGTGTTGCACCTCACAACAAATTTTCTGTCGTGAAGGTAAGACATTGTCTTGATCTTGTACATTAGACCTTCTAGCCAGACTCTATCAAATGCTTGAGAGACATCTAAAAATATGGCAGTACAGTACTCTCGTTTTTCGAAAGCGTTTCGAATTTCTGATGTTATCCGGTTGACCTGCTCAATTGTTCCATGCTTTTCACGAAACCCAAATTGTTGTGACGGGATTCCTTCCTGGATTCTCAGGTATGTGTTTATCCGAGTCATTAGGAATTTTTCAAAGAGTTTAGATAGGCAAGAGAGTAGGCTTATAGGTCTATATGACGTGGGGATAGTGTGGTCTTTCCCCGGCTTTGCTATCATTATTATAATTGACTTTTTCCATCTCACTGGAAAGTGGCCAAGTTTTGCGATGGCATTAAAGAGCTGGGTGAGAGTGCAAACGGCGCAGCATGGGAGCTCAATGATCATTTTGGGAGTTATGAGGTCGCAGCCCTGGGATTTTTTCGAATTCAGTTGACTTTTGATGATGCTTACGATTTCGTTTGGGCGAAACTCAATTGGCTCATGTTGAGGGTGGGGCTCATATGATAGAGTCGGCAAAGTAAACGCATTAGTGGCAGGATTTGGTTGGAAGACATTTTTAAGGTGGTTGGCAAACGTGCTGTCTCGGTCTGCGTCACTGCGCGCCCAGCCGCCCGTGGAATTTCTAATAGGCATCACGGTCTCTTTCGGTGAGCTCATAGTTGGGTGAGCTCTCCATAGTGAGTGTTTTGTACTAATAGTTGACAATTGCTCAATGTAGCGACGGTGGACATATGTTTCTTCTTGCTGTAGAGCTTGAGCAAGTTGACGTGAGGCATGTTTTAAGCTTTGCTTAGCAGATGGCGATCTGTGAAATTGCCATGCTCGGCGTAAGCGTCGCTTTTCGAGGACGAGCTTGTTGATTTGACTTCTTTTGATTGCATTGTGTGTTTATAGTATGAGGTGTTGAAACTCGAGCTGCAGAGACGAGTACAGATTCCAGTGAATTAACAAAACTGTCTAAGTTGGCTTCATCGCTGAGGTGAGGACTTAGCTCAATGTGTGAGCTAATATACTTCCTGTACTTAACCCAATTGGTTTTATGTGAGGTCAGTTTTAATGGTTGATCCTATGTTCCTGGATGTCGGAGTAGAGTAAAAAGGACAGGCGAGTGATCAGATGAAAGATCCGAAAGGCATTCGGCGCTTATCATGTTTTTAGGAATGTTTTTGGTAATCGCAAAGTCTATTAAATCCGGAAGTTTGTTTGGGTCTGCCGGCCAGTATGTTGGTGTACCAGAAGAAACATAGTCGAGCTTGTTCTTGACTTTGATAATTGCATTATAGAGATGCTTTCCTTTTGGAGTCACGAGACGAGATCCACAGTGTGTGTGCTTGGCATTGTAGTCTCCTGCTGCTATGAAGTGGTCTCCGAGTGAGTTGAAAAATTGCATAAACTCATCTTCGGCTATTGTGAAGCGTGGGGGGCAGTATACGGCGGATAGCATTAATTGCTTGCCAGTATTTAGGTGTATATTTATGGATGTGGCCTGTAGGTAGTTTTTAGCAAATTTCGTATGATTTCGATTAATACGGCTCCTGATTAAAATTTCCAGTCCCGCCGTGTGCTTTACCATCTGGATGGTTTGTTCCGTAGAATGAATATCCTCGTAGTTGGAAACTGTATCTGTTTGTAAGATGTGTTGCTGAAAGCAGCATTACGTCGATTTGATTGTCTAGTAGGAATTGCGCTAACTCGAATTTATGCTGCGAAACGCCGTTAGCGTTCCACGTAGATATTCGTAGGGAAGTCATTATTTGGATTGTTGTGAAACCAGCATTTGCATTAATAGATTTTGGTTTCACATCAGATCTTGCATTGTTGTACGCATAAGCGACATAAACTCCGTAAGGCTTTGTTGTAGACTGCATATCATAGCTTCAAAGTACTTTTTGGCTGCTCTGGCGGTTGATGCTGCTGAGCCATGTTCGGTTCTTGGTTTGCTGATTGCGGCAATGAGCTTTTTGAGGCTGGGGTAGGCAGTCCTAATTTTAAAGCACTTGCGTATGTAACATTTTTGGCAGTGTTTATGGGTCCTAGTGAGGATCTGGCTGCAGTCGAGAAGGAGACTTCAGGGTTTGACCTGGAGGCTATCAACTGTTTATTTTGGGTGCGGGCAGTAATTCCCCTCTGGTGGATTCGACTTTTCAGCTCCTTATAAACTGGGCAACCTCTATAGTAAGCAGTGTGATTTCCACCGCAGTCGCCGCACTTTTTTGAGTTGTGGTCATCTTTGCTCGCTGGGCAGTGTACGGAGTTGTGAAGCTCACCACAAACTACACACACCGGGCGCAGTTTACAGTAAGACCTTGTATGGCCAAATTCTTGGCAGTTCGCACATTGGGGCTCCTCAACCGTAATTCTGCGGTGCAGCAGGAACTGAAGATTGTATATAGGGTGCACTTCGTATTTCTTTAGGGGCTTAATTTCTGGTTCGAGCTCAACCTTAAAGAGTGGCTGCGGCCTTCTATCCCTGTTAAGGATATTGAAGACTGTCTTAGCGCTAAATCCCTCTCTTGTAGCGCCTTTGTTATCTCTGCAGGCGATACTTCGGACTCTATGCCCTTAAGTACGACTTGCTGGCCCTTGCTGCTTTTTAGCTGATACGTATAATAGTTCTTTTTTTTTGTCGGTGAGATATTTTGATAATACTCTGTAATTATCTTCAGACTTCGTTTGAACTTTTGTTT